CTCTCAAAAATTGTTCAGTTTATGGAGGATCTTGCTGTGGGTTACAGTCTTAAGTTATTCTTTTTACAAGCATTTCATTAACTTTAAGAACAAAATAAAAATGTGCCCTCTGTCTTGAGTACCACTTGAGGCTGTACCTCCCAGCTGATGAATAACATATACCATATATATTTGGAGTTTCAAAAAGTGGCAGAGTACAATCAAAACAAAGAAAACATAGCTGACTCTCATGGGTTTATTGTACTACAAGCAAAGTTGGCTCTCTTTCCTAGCTTTTAAAATAAACAAGTCAAGGCTGTGCTCTAAGAAAATTGAAGGGAGCCCAGTGCTCTGCAACTGTGAAATCCAGGGTGCCCAGCATATGCTTTTTATGAAAAAAATAGGATTCCTGAGTCGCCCAGTAGCAAAAGTAAGGTGCCAGGGGCCACCAGGCACTGCTAGACCACAGCCCTGCAAGTCATTCTTGATTCTTATGAAAGCAAAATCTTTTTGCCATATGCTAAAACCTTTATAATAACCACATTTTGGTCATCAAGATGGCTAGATATTAAGCTAATTCTAGTTCCTTTTCAGATATTTATAAAAAAGAAAAAAAACCAAACAAGAGAACTCTGCCAATATCCAGCATGTTTACTAGATGAGTTGACTGTTCCAAACAATACAAAATGGCACCTTAATGTTTGGGTTATAGCGTAATACTAAGAGATAAAGTAAATTTACCTTATTAATCATCACAATCTAATATGCCATGACTTAAAGTCAAATTATATACAATGTTTTGTGCACTCAAACTTAGACTGGATTTATTTTTAGAATGAATCAAAATTTTCGGATTAACTAATTTGATCAAGAATAGTTGAACCACAAATGTTGGAATTGATTCATCCAAATATAAATGCAGTCCTGTAGTAGATTATAGACAGTCAATTGTAATAGTCTTTTTCAATCTCTTGTGTGCTGTTTTCAGACACAGAAGAGATTCTGGTGAAAATAATTATAATTCTGGTTTAGTTTCCTGGATGCTTAGTTCTGTTGTCATATGGTACAGAGTTGTTAAACAAGTATGTGCTTTCTTTATTTTTATTTTTGTTTTATTTTTGTTTTATTTTTGTTTTATTTTTGTTTTATTTTTCAGGTATCTCTGACCTCTTCAAGAAAGAGGTGATGGAAAAATATCCACCCAGGAAGGCATTAGGTTGACCCCCTCTACTTTTATAGTTCTTGAACTGTGTACAAGAGATGGGTGACTAATAACTGAACTGCAATGGAGTTGGCTTTACCATTTGAGTCTCTTTCTCAGTCTTCATCAGGGTTGCGAAGACTTGGAGTAAAAAACAAAGAGGAGAGAGTGAATGCTGTTATGGAAACTGGACTGTCTTACTGAGCTGAATGGATTTTGAACTGTGTACAAGAGACAGGTGACTAAACTCTGACCTGCAATGGAGGTGGCCTCACCCATAAAGTCTCTTCCTTAGTTTTGATCTGGAATGCTAAGACTTGGTCCACCAAAAACAAAGGAGAAGAGTGTGAAAAGTTTTTCAGAAACTTGACCATCTTGCTACACTAAATGCATTTTGAACTGTTTGCAGAAGATGGGTGACTAATTACTGACCTACAATGGAACTGACCTCACCCATAAAATCTCCTCAGTCCTGATCTAGAATGTTAAGACTTGGTCCACCAAAAAAGAGGAAAAGTGTGTGAAAACCATTTTGGAAACAGGACTGTCTTGCTGTACTGAACGGATCTTGAACTGTATACAAGAGATAGGTGACCAATAGCCGACCTCTAATGGAGTTGGCTCCACCCACAAAGTCTCTTCTTCAGTCTTGATCTCGGTTCCTAAGACTTGGTCCACCAAAAAAACAAAGAGAAGTGTGTGAAAACTGTTTTGGAAACTGGACTGTCTTGCTGTGCTGATCGGATCCTGAACAGTGTACAAGAGATGGGTGACTAATAACTGACCCGCATTGGATTCGGCTTCATCCATTAAGTGTCTTCCTCAGTCTTGACCTGGAATGCTAAGACTTGGTCCACCCCCAATAAAAGGAATAGAGTGTGAAAACTATTTCGGAAACAGGACTGTCTTGCTGCGCCTAACAGATCTTGAACTGTGTATAAGAGATGGGTGACTAATAGCTGACACACAATGGAGTTGGCTTCACCCACAAAGTCTCTTCCTCAGTCTTGATCTCTGGCATGCTAAGACTTGGTCCACAAAAAAAAGTAAGAGAAGAGTGTGAAAGCTGTTTCGGAAACAGGACTGTCTTGCTGTGCTGAACAGATCTTGCGTTTTGTACAAGAGACGGGTGACTAACAGCCGACCAGCAATGACATCGGCTTCACCCATAACGTCTCTTCCTCAGTTTTGATCTGGAATGGTAAGACTTGGTCCACTAAAAGAAACAAAGAGAAGAGTGTGAAAACTATTTCGGAACCTAGACTGTCTTGCTACGCTGAATGGATCTTGAACTGTGTACCAGAGACGGGTGAGGTCTTGCTGACGGCTGAATCTTGCTGCGCTGAATGGATTTTGAACCGTGTATCAGAGACCTGTGACTAGTAGCTGACTTATAATGGAGTCTGCCTGACCTGTGAAGCCACTTCCTCAGTCTTGATCGGATCTTGGACTTTTTATAAGAGGTATCTTTCAAGGTTTCTTTTTGGTGTATTGTTTCTAAATCTAAATGAAATTCTTGTTCAGATTTTTTGTCCAACGATGAAAAAAAAAAAAAAAAAATAAGTGAGGCGTTTGGGATTAAAAGCCTCACCGAGGATATGTCTTTTCGTGTTCGTTAGACAGCTATCTTTATAACGCAAAATTACTTTCACAGAGACAATTGAATTTTGTTAGCATGCAACAAATTATGATTCAACTTCACTAAGTAGAGTACAAATCTCGCGCGATATTGAACAGTTGGTTATCATGTACCGTAAAAGAACCAGTTGAAATGGTCGGCTGTGCACGCTTCGTTTCTCTATCTGCTTTGATTTTCCTGTCTTAGAAGAAATGTGAATAAAAGAAAGCAAAAAAAAAAAAAAAGAGAGGTTAATAAATGACTTATAAGACGTTTTGGTGTGTAGTGTAGCTGAGAAGTTTTACTCTTTCTTTGTATTATCACTCACTATACGGGCTCGTCAAAATATGGCACAACTCGTAAAATGCTCAGCGATACGACACACTAAAACGTCTAATAAGATTTATTTATTATATAGCTGGCAGCGCCCGCAGGCAAGATGAAGCGAATCTTCTGTTCTAATTGGTTACCCGAGCCGCAAGATGAGCCCATCATCCTTGCTCGGAATTGCCCCGTTTGATCCCGCGCGAGAGAAAGAATGCGTGAAGCGGACTTACAAAGTACGTAACTTTTGAACGATGGCGGCATTGAAGTCACGGAAAGCGGCGGAAGAGAGTCGAAACAAAGAAGACATAAACGACCCTCCTGAGTTTATTTTGTTACAAACTCAGTTGGCTTTCTTTCCCGGCTCTTGAAATAAAGTCGTTACTGATTCTTATGAAAGCGAAATATTTTTGCTATATAACAAGTCCTTTATTGACCAAGCTTGTTTTCGGGCAAGATGGCTGGATATTAGCCTCGGTTTTTCGTCGACTTCGTCTCAGTCCCTAAATACGCAAAAAAAGAAAGAGCTCGGTCAATATCAGGCCATCTTGACCTCACGCCTGGTCAATAA